TGCGGGAAGCCTGCTTCTCCCTCTCCCACTCCCCCTGCTTGTGTTCCCTCTCTTGCTGTCTCTCTCTGTCAAATAAATAAGTAAAATCTTAAAAAAAAAAAAAATTTCTGACAAATTTTTTGAATGTACGTGCATGACCCTGAGAATATATCCCCCAGATCTCATACAGCTGGTTGACCCAGGGCCCCAGCCGTGTCACTCTGAAACCCCTCACAGCATTCAGACAGAGGCCATGCTGCCCACGGGCTGTCCAGCCCTGACTTAGTATCCCTGTGTCAAGATGCAAAGGCAAGGCCTGCTCTGAAGAGTGATCTTGGCTCCAGGATTCCTCAACAGCCTTCCTGAATTTCCTCCGAAACATACCGCAGTCCAGATGCTTCCACCTACCCAATCTTCTTTTCCTTCTTTCTTTACGTGGGTCACACCTACTCTGTCACCTCTCCATTTCCTGTCTCAGGCATTTCCCCTAATACATTTTATGCAAATCCTGTCTGGGCAACTGCTTCTCAGAGATCCTGTACTAACTCATACCACTAATCTCTCAGTCCTTCACTAAACTTAATGTGAACTATTCCCAAATAACAAAGTGTCTGCCTGTTTTGTACTTAGAATTTCATCCAAAGAAATAGAGTAGGAAAACAGTTCTACATGAAGGAAAGTAGAGGGGTCAAAAAGGTTTGCTTATTGCCCCGCTTTGAGCAGTTTAATCATCGTAGTTATGACACGCAGGGCCTAGAGGCAGAGGGCACCCCCCCAGTGGTTGGTGGTTTCTTTTTAGAGACCAGAAGAGTTCCAGAATCCAGAAAGAAGGGCTTGTACTATCGCTGGGCCAGACACTCAAGTCGGAGGCTGGGTTTTGAGGACCGAAGGAAGGGTGTTGTCACGGGAGTTGTAGGAAGCCACAAGTCCACAGTAGCGCTGGCCTCTCTCTTTTCCAGCCACACTCCTTCCTGCTGTTTATCCTCAGATGGCGACTGCAGAGGGCTGGAGCAGGACTTTCGGGCCTCCTTGAAGCACTCTTCCTTTCTTCCAAGCCCAGAGTCCTGAGGCATGAGCTACGATCCCCTGGGCTCACTCTCCGAGACAGAAATCCTGTCTTCCTCAGACAGCAGCTGAGCTGACACATCCGAACAGCAGGCCATGAAGTCACAAGATGTTCCACAATAAGGACCTGGGGTGTCCTGCCAGGGATTCCTGTGGGCCAAATGGCAACTGCCCCTGTAGAGAACTTGGTTTGCCTCACTTCGATTCTAAATCGGGTCCTTCACTGAATGTTCGGTGCTTGATAACAGAGTGATGCTTCTGTGGACAAAATAAGTGGGGAGGGAAAGCTGAGAGAGGCCTTTATTGTTTTAATGAACAGTGGAGGGTAATAGGGCTGTGCCTACTGATGATCCTTATCTGAGTTTTTGTAACAGCTTAATCAATAAGCTGGTTGGTTGAAAGCTGTTCCTGAGATTTTCCCTAGGCCTGGGGAATTAAAGCACTGGGCTGGAAGAGAAGCTATCTGCCCTAAGAGTTTGGGGTTTTGAGACTGGCTGGAGGCCTCAGGTGAAGGTGAGGGTTTGTTATTAATGACTGCCCCTGGCCCAGGAGATGACATCTGAGAAGAGTCTGGAGCACAGATCCCCACCCCCACACTCCAGGCCAGAACAGGGTCTTAATTGGCCACATTTGCCCCCTGCAGGGCAAAAAAGCGAGGGCAGTGACCTGGTTAGGAGCTGTGAAGTAGGTCCCTCAGGTTGCTCCTAGAGCTGGACCCCAGCTGCAATCAGCCCCTCACTCTTGCTTTGTTCTCGGGATGTATGAATTCTCTCCTGTATCCACACAGTTCTTCAGAAGGGCCCAGGAATCAACCCTGACAAATGTCTCTGTGTTGTCTGTTCAGTAGAGATAACAATTAAGGTTAAAAAAAAAAAAAAGTAGTTGAGGACAAACCCTACTGATTTATCCTTACCTTTGACTGACATTTGGGAAATCTCTGTGGTTTGATAGGCTCTAAGCTTCTTCCCAGATTTGTGATTAAAGCTGAGTGAATCCCCATCTCTGCCCAGGAATTCTGGCTTCCAGCTGCAAAGCAAGCCTTCAAGGTCTTCCCACAGTGCTTCCCATCTCCCTCACTCTCCCACTCTCCGGATCTCTCCAGGCTCCTACCTCGTTTCCTGACACAGCAAGCCCCAACTTAGGGCCCTTCCCCGGGGATCACCTCTGATTTCTCACTGATAAACCTGCTCCCCTGCTCATCTCCTGCTCTTTTTGAATGGTTCACTTCACTTTCCTCTTCTGTTACATGTGAACTGGGGGTAGCAGGAGGTAGGGGGTTGCAGTGGAGGATTTTCAAGGTCTCTCCCAGCCCTGACACTCAGGGACACTCAGAGAGTCTACTAAGGGCAAAGGCATCACGCTAAGTGCATGTGTGTGTGTGTGTGGGGGGGGTGTATAAAATAGTTAAGGTTGGTGCCCGTCCTCAAGGAGTTTCTAGTTGAGTTGATCTGATGCCTACCTAAAAAACTTCTGATGAGTTAAGGAAGATTTCCTGTAAATGAGGTGCATAAAGTTATTAGAGTTCCCCAGAATTCCAAGGAAATGAGAGATGTCTTCTGGAGGCAGAGGGGGTCAGTAAAGGAATGAAACAGGATTCCCAGGCTCTTTCCCAAGGCTGGTGGTACAGATGCCTTTGGCCTCCTTCCCCAAAGTATCCTAGTTATCTGCCAGTCCCAATCCCAGTGGGTAAACCATCTCCTACCAGGCATCCTGCTAGAAGGGAAATCTGTCCATGGACCCCCAGGCTCATACCCTTTGAATTGGTGCACTTCATTGAATCTTTTTGCCTTCTTGATCACACTGCTAATAACATTTATTATTAATGTTAGTAATGTAATTACTGTTATTATTATGACTATTTGCTAGGCACAGTGCTAAGCGCTTCCCATGCATCATCTCACTTATTCCTCACAACAGCATTTTAGGTGGCTATGAATATGATTTTTTTTTTTAAAGATTTTATTTATTTATTTGACAGAGAGAGACACAGCGAGAGAGGGAACACAAGCAGGGGGAGTGGGAGAGGGAGAAGCAGGCTTCCCGCCGAGCAGGGAGCCCGATGCAGGGCTCGATCCCAGTACCCTGGGATCATGACCTGAGCCGAAGCAGACGCTTAACAACTGAGCCACCCAGGCGCCCCTATGAATATGATTATTAACCCATTTTATAGATGGGGAAAATGAGGATGTGAAGTTGAGTGACCCATCTTGGGTCCCATGGGTAATCAGAAACAGAGACATATTTGAACTCAGTTTTCTTCCTATTTATACTTCCTACTTATTGCATAAATGGGAGACCTCATCTAGACTAGAGCACAGAAATCTTGAAGCAGAGAGCAGGGGGAGGAGAAAGGGACATGGCAGGAGCCATGACTGGGAGTATGGATTAGGGCCAAGGCAGGGGGACAAAAAGTCCAGTCTGAGAAGCCAAGGTTAAGGCTGGAAAAGCTCTCCCTGAGAGGGCCTGGGTATCAGGGTTGGGATGACCAAGCACTAGGAGCAAGCAGGAGAACCTGCAAAGACGGATTCTTTCCGGATCCCCACATGGGCCATGCTGGGAGCTTGAACAGAAGGCCTTCCAAGGCAGTTCTCGCTTTGTAGCTCTGGGATTCTGTGAGCACCGGGTGTAGTTTTAGTGCTGGACCTCACTCTGGTCATCTCTCTCTGGTCACTGAATTCCATCTTCTCCCAGGTGCATTGTGGTTAGAGGGCACCCTAGGCCCTGGGACTGCCTGGGTTTGAGTCTTGGTTTCTCCTCCAGTTCCGAGCTGTGAATTTGGACAGGGATTTGGAAGTCAGCCTCAGCTTGAATCCTGAGTCCTGTAACCTTAGGCAGTTTACTTCATCCCTCATTTTCCTCATCAGTAAATAAGGAAATATAATACCCGCCTCATAGGATCATTATGAGGATATATGAGGATTAAGTGAGTTAATGTTTGTAAAGCACTTATAACACTGTCTGGTACATAGTTTTTTTTTTTTTGAGAACATCTTAAAAACTTTTCTAGAATCTGTAAATACAGCATACAGCACAATTTCATTGTTAGCTGTTTACATGTGGGTCTTATTTGCACTCCACTTGCTGTGAAGGGCAGAAAATACATTCAGCCCATCTTTGGCCCTAGCCCACTGACTCCCGGTTTGGTACTCAATAAAGTGGCTAGTTTGAAATAAACCGGGAGTCAGTGGCAAGGGCAGCAGAGAGCTGTCCAGATAAGCAGATATTAAACTGCTGACTGGGAGTAGGGGAGGAACAGGCAGTGACTCTCCTCTTTCTGGAATGTTTGAAGGGGTCCAGAGTTTGCGTCACTGTTGGAGGACCAGGAGGCACCGACTAGAGGCTGAGAGACACCCGAAGAGGTGGGATAAACAGCCCCGTGTTTCTATAAAGAGCAGGACTTTGGAGCCCGCAGTCAGAGCCAGCTCTCTTACGTGTAAAATAGGAAATGAGTATCCACTAAAAAGAGAGAGCACTGGTAATGGCTATTGACTGAGCACCTTCCAGGTAGATAGGCACCAGCTAAGCATTTATTATGACCATTCACAAATGAGGCTGGGCGAGGTTAAGCGACCTGCCCAAAGTTACAAAGCAATTAAAATGGAAGGGTGACGATTCGAGCACAGGTGTGTGAATCAAACTCTGCGTACGGATGTAAAAGTGACCTGGAGCAGCTAAGGGCGGTTCAGATGATAACGGTCACTTTATTAGGACAAATGGCTTATGAATAACAGCAACACTAGGAGAGCGGGGCGGCTCTCGAACGCCACAGCGGGCACGCCTGCCCCGGCGAGACCCGAAAGTCCCGCCGCCTTTCGGCGCTTACGTGCGCTCCGTGACCGCCGCGGCAGACGAGAGGCCTGCGGCCGAGACCGCATGCGCTCTGGCGCCCTCGAGCGCGCCCCTCCCCCCAGGCGGCCGCAGCGCTGGCACGGGGCGCATGCGCGCGCCCGGCGGGAGGAGGGCGGATTCGAGCGAGTGGAAAGATTTGGGCGACCAAGTGCGCGGGAGCCCGGCGGTAGGGTGCGAGCGCGCAGGCGCGGCTGGGGCCAGGCAGCGACTCCGGAATCTCGGCTAGTCTCAGTCTGTGTCGCACCCGGAGCCGTCGCCATGGCTGCATACAAGCTGGTTCTGATCCGGCACGGCGAGAGCACTTGGAACCTGGAGAACCGCTTCAGCGGCTGGTACGACGCCGACCTGAGCCCGGCCGGGCACGAGGAGGCGAAGCGCGGCGGGCAGGCGCTGAGAGGTGCGGAGCGGGCCGGGCCGGGCTGCGGGTGGGGGTTGCGGAGGCCCGGGCGGGCGCCGCTCGGTGAGGGCCATCTGGCTCGCCCCCTTGCCCTCCCAGAGAGGGCTGACTTTGGGCTTCAGCTCTCCAGCAATTTATTTTGCAAATGACAAAATGGGCCCAGATTGGGGGGGAGGTCGCCTTGCTCAAGGTCATCCAATGGAGTGAGGGGCCGCCCCAGGAAGAGGACCGGGGGCGGTCGTCCCGTGACCCACTGCGTTCTCCGCGGCACCACCTTGCGAAATTCTCCCATTTTCTAGTCTGAGCATTTAATAACTCGGGGACGGGTTATTACATTGGATGCCCGGTGTCTTCCAGCAGCCGTAACCAAGCCTTTTCAAGAGGTCGCTGCGGATCCTAGTGAAGCGTCAGGCCACACGCTTGTCGCTGGCTGTGGGGGAGTATCGCGGCGCTGGGGGGGGGCCAACGGGCGTCAGAAACCCACGTGCTTATGTAGGCCTTTGCCGTTAAGCAGCATCCCACAAATCCTGTGTCCAAAATGCATCTTCAAATGTAATTGAATGAATGAATGAATGGATTTTAATTGATCCTGTGCACGATTCCATAAAGTAGACAGATTTTTTTTTAATATTTTATTTATTTATTTGACAGAGACACAGGGAGAGAGGGAACACAAGCAGGGGGAGTGGGAGAGAGAGAAGCAGGCTTCCCGCGGAGCAGGGAGCCTGATGTGGGGCTCGATGCCAGGACCCTGGGATCATGACCTGAGCGAAGGCAGACGCTTAACGACTGAGCCACCCAGGCGCCCCAAGTAGACAGATTTTTATTCCCCTCTTTTCTATCCCTCCCTGGCCCTCTCTTATAGTTGGGAAAAGTGAGGATTGCATAGATGACTTGTTCAAGGTCGTATCTTTTTATTCCTAGTCCATCCCGCTTGTTCCATTTCTGGGTTGAGTAACAGGTAGACGCTGGGCAAAGGTGGAAGTGGCAGTGAGATAAACTCGCCTACCCAGGCTTGCCCCGCGGGGGGGGGGGGTGGCTTTCTGTGGTTTTGGAATGCTTTTTATGAGGAGGCATTCTCAGCTGTCAGCAGCTCCGAGAATCTCTCTGGTCTGAGAAGGTGAATGCGCCCATCTCATCTGATCTCGGAAGCTAAGCAGGGTCGGGCCTGGTTAGTACTTGGATGGGAGAAGGTGCTTCCATTGATGATTAGGGCAGATCCTGCCCTGCTCCCTTCTAACCTCTGGACCTAGAAGCAACCCTTTAAAAGGGTCATTGATGCCTGATGTGGAAGAGGTATTTGGCCTCAGGTTACTCTAGCTTCTTGCCTTCACTCTAGATCCTTTGAAATGAAGCAAAGGTTTGGAAAGTGTGGGAAATGTAATCCTGCTGGCTGTGTGTGTGAATGCTGGTGTGACTTACATTAGGAGAGGCTGGGAAAGGGAAAGTGCTGGTAAAGGAGGCCATTTTCTCTCCTGTCTGGCAGGAAGAACTGTATGGGTCTGTGGTGGTTTGCTGAGGACTAGCCAGGACAAAGATAATTGCAGCTGTATCCTAAAGACTGATCAAATGGTCAAACTTGTAATTTCTCTTTAACAGACCCTACTTCAGTTTTTTTTAAGTTTATTTTTAGTAATCTCTACACCAATGTGGGGCTCAAACTCATGACCCCGGGATTAAGAGTCACATGCTCTTGTGACTAAGCCAACCAGGCACCCCCCATTTCAGTTTTTAAGTAAATGTTGGTAGCATTAGTTAGAAAAATCTCATTTAAAATCTTAATATCTGTTATGGGCATCACAAATGATTATATTAAAAAAGACTAAAAGCAGAAATCTGAATGGTGAAGACCATCATGAGTAGTGTAAGAAACCTAAAATAAATATATTAAATTCTCCAGAGCTTTAAATCATAGTAGGGTTTTTAAACTCTTGAAACGTTTCAGGAGGAAGCTAGTGAGAACTCAGTTTCCCCATGCAGTCTTACCTCGGGGCAGGGGGAAATGAGGTCCACACCACACCATTTACTCCACCTGTGGGAGTGTCCTAGGCTATGCTTTTATTTAATGGGCAAGTTAAAGAAAGAGGCCTTAGAGTTCTGTTAAGTGCCCTGAGGCGAACTGCTTTTCTCCTTAGGGACTTACTTGAATATCCAATGGGATTGCGAGTGGAAAGATTTGGAGTGAAACAGCGGGTAGCTGTGCAGCATGGGAGATGAGGCTTGCAGTATGGATGGTTGCTTCCCCGTGACTCAGCCTTTTACTGGGGAGCCATTCTTCCCTAGAGTTAGGGAGGAGATGGTAATGGAGTCTACTAGGACTTGTCCTGAGGCTCAGTGATGAGATTTGTCATCTTTCCCTTGTGGGTAGTGTAGTGATGGGTTTCCTGGTGATTAATCCTCCCTTTCCCCATCAGCATAGTTCTTACTGGCCTCATTCTCAGTCGAATGACTGGCAGAAGAATTCACTTCACATTGCATTAGTTACTGTTGGCAACCTCCATATGAGGCAATACCCAGGAAAGTTTGTGCTGAATTTCAAAGAGGGCCTTGCAGCCTCATTGAGGAAAATACTACATAAAGAAAGGGCTCTCTCCTTATTAAATCGGGAGGGGGGATAATCTTTCATGAAATACGAATTGTAACCTGTTGGTTGGGGCAACATAACTCTTGATTACCACCGCTTAATAACTACCGTGTATGTGTATGGAGGAGAGGTTCATTTATAAATGAATCCATGCACAGCACTTGCTCTTTTTGCTCTTTCTCCAGGGAGTGGTTTCTCCTAAACTTGGTCTAGCCGTCCACCTAAGTAGGTACAGGCTGGCACTTGACTAGAGCAGAAACTGGATTAAGAGATTGTGATGTGATTTCCACTCCATAGTGAAAATATAATTTCAGGCAACAAACTGAAGTTTTAATCAGCATCCTCTAAGAGCTCTTGCTGTGTCCTGATTGTTGGGGATTTGTTTGTTTGTTTATTTAATTTATTTATAAAAGGTTTTATTCATTCACTTGACAGAGAGAGACACAGCGAGAGAGGGAACACAAGCAGGGGGAGTGGGAGAGGGAGAAGCAGGCTTCCCGC